AGCAGGAAAGTCCAAGGAGAGCAGCACTCCCTGGCTGGCTCTGTGCTAGCTTGAGGATCTCTTTGGACCACTCAGTGATTTTAAACATGACTCAGGTGCAGCCAGGATACATTCTATGTTTAGTTTGAGGCTGTGTAAAGTGGGTTAAGTGAAACCCAAATATTTCAGGTGTGGGGAAGGGCTGGTATCTGAACAGAAATTCAAGGACATATTAGTATAGTTAGTCAGGTAGGCAGTAGTTTATCCTCCAGAATCTTTTAGAAGTGGTTTCAACTTACAAAAAAGAGGAGACTTCATCAAGATGTTGGTAAAAGTGTACTGAGAAGTGTAGCCCCACCTGGCCGTCGGTGACCCTCAAACACTCACTTCTGCAGATATATCCAAGACCTGTCTTACCAGAATCATCAAGGGAAAGTAAACTCTATAAAGTATTTCTGAGCAGTCACTTTATAACCTACCTGTTAGCTCCTGAGGGAGGGGACCCTCACGTACTCATGCATGTTGTGATCCTCACGCACAGTGCTAGAGAGCAAGGTCTTTGCAGCAGGAACTTATCTTTTACAAGTTTTCCCTGAAATGCCTGACAGAGTTCTGACTGCTAGAAAATAGACCAAAAAACTGGACACCAAACCCAAATATGCATTCTAATGTATTTTGTAACATGTTACAGCTGAACTTCACAGCTTTCTTGCATAAGGAGTGAGCCAAGAGAATATATAAAACTATCAGTCTCCATTATTATATCAGGTCTTTTACATAATCTCATGCAATTAAGTCAGTTTGCATCCAGTAAATAAGCTCTCTGAGAGCCGTTCCTGAATATCACCTTTTCAAAATCTCCCCCACTGTCTTATTCTCGTTATGCTGATTTTCATTTCCCCAAGTGATGCAGAACACTACTGTTCTCTCTGCAGCCACAGTACCTGTCAATCTTGTCTGTCGTAGCCTGGCATTTAACTAGGCAATTCATCACCACGGAGGAGATATTTAACATTGAACAAATGACTGTGTACAGTTGTGTAGAGAGGAAGGAAAGCACGTTCCTTCCAAAGGAATTTTACCTATACTAAGTCATCCAATTTTTCCAGAGGTGTTTAAAGCAACATAAAAGCATGTACCTGCTGCAGAATGTCCTTAAGATTAAGACCAATTAATTACACTGAAAACCTGGAATATAATCAAATCATTTTAGCCTGCTGCATTTACAATTTCTTTCCATTAAAATATTTCGCTATATGTGTGAGGAATATCAAAATCTTAAATATGTTCTGTTTAGCTTATTCTATGCATAGTTAACCATACTGATGTACAAAACCTTTGTATACAGTTAAAATTATGATTATTCAAGTACGATAGCCACTAGATTATTTTTTTCTCTGCCTCCCTATTTGCTCTCACTAGAACATCCAGTATCTATCTTTGTATGTATGTGCCTTTGAGGTGAAGGAAATGTCATTTGTGTGTGCTCCTTATTCATGATGATGATGATGATGATGTCATTAATCTCTCTTTTAAAATGAGGGAAATTAGCAATCCTTAACTAAAAAATGGTTAATCCTTCAGCATAAATGCAAATGACTGTCAACTCAAAAATACCTAAAAGACCTAAATATCTAAAAATACCTGGAAGCTGGATTTGTTTACTAAGTACAGTCAAATGTTTAAATCCCAAATCACTTTAAAAAGGCTTTCAAGTTTACTTTTTGCTACAAAGCATCCATCCCCAGCCCCTTTCTTCTTGCTCAGTCTGCCAGGAAGCTGTGTGGGAAGCCTTCCGTATTTTTCTGGATCGGATCCCTGATACTTCTGAATATCAGAACTGGGTTACTGCCTGCCAGAGGGAAACCTTCTGCATATTTGACATTGGCAAAAACTTCAGCAATTCCCAAGAGCACCTGGAAATAATCCAACGGGTAAGGATTACTGACATTTGTTTAGAAACTGGGGGAGACTACCAAGTCCCTCCCCATCTGCTTATATAAGGGCAAAGTATTGCTCAGGAAGAGGAGGGGGCGTGTGTTAGAAGGAAAAGGTAAAAGTACAGTAAACAAGAGAGCTAACAGGATTCTGCTCAATGGTTGGATACACCCACTAGTAAAACGCTGTTTTTCTTAATCTTTTTGCAGCGAGTAAAACATAGAACCTTCCAGGAAAGGTAAGTAGCACAAGTAGAACCTTGCCACTTAATGTTACTGCCTTTTTTCAAAAAGATACGTGTAGATGTGCGTGGATGTGAACAGATAGACAGATAGCACTGTGGTGTATATGGTGTGTGCTGCGAGAGATGTGTATCCTGTATGTATCATAGTACACAGTAACTGAATCACAAATAACGAAGGTGGCCAAATGTCTGAGTTGCTTGTTCACTTTGAGACACCACAGAATGTCTTCCTAGACTAATGTGAGCACAATACCCTAAAGAGCCACAGCATTCAGTTAGACTAGTGTTGACTGGGAGCGTGACAAAAAATTACCTGCAATTGCTATTAATTCTCAAAAGGAAAGTCAGAGCACTTAACGAAAGTTCATCTGGGGGCCTACATTCAGCAATAATATGAAAACTCTGCCTTCACTTTAGCTTTCCCCTGTATTTTTAGATGTCATGATAGTGTTAACTAATGTGATGCTTTATTCCGTAAATACTTGGAAAGAAAGTATGCTCCTGGCAACACTTGGAAGTCTGAGAATGGCAGGATTAAAGTTACAATACTGAACTCTGTCTCTCTGCGTATAAGTACTATAGTACAGCCAAACAAATCATTGTCCACAGTTTATCTGATTAATGTATTACTTTTTCTTTCAAATTTTCTAAGATTTTCAGGTGTAGTAAATAATCTTTTCCTTTCCTAAGTTACACTGTCTCATGATCACAGAGGTCTTACGCACCTTTATTCATTATGATATGGGAGCTTTGAGTGTTCTTCCTCAGAAATGTATTTTTAATAACGTAGGGCCTAATTAAACTCCCCTGGAAGTCCAAAGGGAGGTCTCTGCACTCAGTCTAGTGCAAACAGCAGCAGCAAGGCAATAAGTGAAGTGACTGATCTCAGAGTTCTTACTTTTTGTGAACAGTATGGTCTTCCCTAGACACAATTCAGAAGGTGAAGTAAATTCTATGAAATTACTCATATTTTAGCAAGAAATACAGGCAGCCACAATTATGCATTGTTGGACTTCATCTTTACTACTGTGTGGTTTGGGAAACGTTTTGTATCTTCTGTAGATGCCGTGTAGACAAGAGACCAATCTCCAGTTAAAGACACAACACATAATTAGTTAACATTGTGAAAACATTACAAATACTACTTTAGTTCTCATCGCACAAGATATCCAGAGGATGTGGTAAATGAGGAGTTGTTCATGTTCCTTATTTATGCTATTAAACATCGAGATTGGTCCTGTCTAGAAACACAGCCCAGCCATCTTTTCTGTCTGTGCTACAAGCCTCATGTTGTCTCAGTTAACACCACACTATGCATTTGCAGTGCCTTTAGTTCTTTCACTCACACCAGTTTTCACAAACACTCCACCTGTGTGCACTGCCTTAACAACAGCTGTTTCTACAGAAATTTTGAGAAATTCTATCCTCATTTATTTCCATGATTGGGCTTTTTATTTTATGATGTGTTTTTTTCCACACTCTACTTAGAACCCAAAGCAACTGAAATTCTTCATCCCCCAATTTCAGGAAAGAAAAATCTCAAAATGTGACTTAGAAGATTCTTATTTAAGAGTCTAAATGTTTCCAAAAGCTACAAATAAATAAAAATTTGGTTTTAGAGAAGAAATTATTCTATAGCCTTAACTGCAGGAATCTTTAACACATCTATTATAAAATGTACTTATATACATACACCACTTCTGCTTTTCAGGCAAGCTAAAAGTCGCGGTTACAAAATCTATTCATCAGCACATGACTGTTAAAATTACAATGGGAAGTAATATCAACAATACAAAAACAAATCCAGGAATCCAGTTTGAATCTATCATTAGTTGGAAGCATCCTTATGATATTATAAAGCAGGCGGACAACTGAAAAATAAGGACCCACCCTGTCCTCATACCAAACCATATGAAACACCCTTGGAACCATGAAATGTCCATTGGCTCCAAAATTAGAAGAAGCCCAAAGCCTTCACTGAACCGTCTTGACAGGATGAGACATAGCAAAGGAGACAATAGTTGGTTTAGATAATGTACGAGAAGTCTTGCCTCCACTTTAGTCAGTGGTCAACCATTTATAGATTTCAAAGAGAGAAAAAGCAGACCCTGTGCACTGATTTAATCTCTGTGACCCCATCCCTCTGATTGCTTAGAGAAAATCAGTGATGAAACCTCACAAGCAGACTCCTGAGAGGATTGGTAGTCCTTGGGGGAGGAATATACCAAATCAGTATTTCTGCTCGTTGTAAGAGCAAATACCATATTGAAGGACAGGAAAGGAAATGTATAAACTGTTGAACATAAAATATGATCTATTGTTTCATTGCCTCTTTAACCAGCTTATCAAATATTCCATTAGAAATAATTTATCTCATTTAAAGTACACTTAATACAGAGCTCCTTTCTACATTTTTTTTACACCTTTGCCATTGCCAGTACAGCATGCTGATCATTAAATCACTCATTTCTATTTGATTGATAGGAAAGATGAAATATCCACAGAGAAAACAGGTGGCAAAAAGCTGGAAGACATTCCTTCCATTTCTACAGGTAAAATCAAATCTACTTGCTGTGCATCTGCCCATTAAAATAGAATTGCTAAAACCAGTGATTCATAGATCTGAGAAGGCTGTATAATTTAATGAATGCAGTAGAAGCATGACAAGTTCAGTGAAGGACAATTAAAATGCTTTAGCAAAATAATCTCTAAGAAGTATTTTTTTATTTCTTTACAGCATGTCTGCTACTCAAATGTAGCATTCCAGGTTTGTTTCACGGCCTTTAAACACATTTGTTTTCCTAGTTTCACCTGTAGAGAGTAGAGCTAATTTTGCTTCAGTTATGAAATAACATTTAGAGTGTCAGCTGCTGCATTTTTTAGCCAAAATAATCAAGCAGATGAAAATAACGAATTACTTTAGCCAGAAAGTCACAGTGATGCTAAGACATTAATTTGAGCAGATTATTCCAATTAGACCTACCAACACTATTGTGTTCCTTAAAATAATGTTATACATTTATGTAGTGATAAAAATGTGTAAATATGAGTATTTTGGTTCAAGGAGGAAACATCTTGCACACATATTTTCATGAGGGCGAAATATGACAGAATCTGATTGATGGTGACTTCCAGCACAGTAATTTTGCCTCTAGCTTGAAAACTCTCTCAAAGCCTCTCATTACTTTAAATTGAGCCTTAAAGAAAGGTGGCTATCATAGAGACAAATATCTCAATTGGCAAAATTAAGCTTAGACATTTGTTGATATATAATGCAGTATGACAGGAAATGATCAAATATTATTTAATTGACACAATTTCATTGATGCACAGGCAGTGCCATTTTTACCTTCAGTCATACACATGCAACATTACTGATATTTTTACCTAGAAAGAAAGGCCGTCTATTGTATAAAAAGTAGCCGCTTTACCCATGCCATAGGCCATGACTACTTTTCACTAGCACAGGTTTGCACTCAAACACACCCTCCATAAGGAAAGCTTCTCCAGTGAGCTGACGCCCGTCCAACAGAGAAAGGGGACGATTTTTGATGTGCAAACCTGTTCTTGCCTGATTTTTACTTTAAACCCCCCCAGGCTCTTCTGGCATATCCCTCTCTCCGTATGCACCAGTCCCTAACGGCACGCTGCTCAATGAAATTGTTAACGACACGAAGACTCCTGTGAAGGTGAGGACAGCCTCTTCTCCTATCTCACTTTTTCACCCACCCTTTTCAGCACAGCTAGCAGAAAAGGGGGAGAAGCCTTATAAACACTTAGTGCTTACAAACCATGAGTGCACCCCTCTGTTACTGCTAGTAGGACTGAAGGGTTTTACTAGCACCTGTTCTGTACTGGAATAGCGCATAATGTTTCTTGTGTACACAGTAGAAAGTATAAAAATACGGCAACCAGCTTTTAGGCAGAGACATCATTCTTTTAATGAGGGCCTCATTGCCTATTTTGCACTGTTTTGTAACCTTGCTCTTCATTAAATAACATAAAAATGCATACCTTCCGAGCTTCCCGCAACACAGGGAACAGGACTGGACCTTCTTGCCTTCTGCTTGCCAGACGGCCAGCTGTCAACCAGGGGATCTCCACCCATGCCTCCTCAGCACAGCCACACAGCATGGTGCTGGGGGCTGCCTCCTCCTCTGCAGGTTTACAGCAGCTGCCACACATTACATCTGAGATGGGGTGGGGATGATAGGAGGGGCTGTTATTTTCCCTGTCCTGGCTGCTGTGCCTGGGGGTAGCAGGGAGGTGGTTCTACTCAGTGCAGCAGCCTGGCTTCAGGGAAGCTTCTGGAACCTCCCTCTGGAGAGAGACCAAGGCCTCAACAGGTCCCAAGGGTGGATCCTGCTGCTGAGGAGCCCCAGGTGGGAGGTGATCCTATGTATTTCCCCTCTGCTTTGCTCTGGGATTTTTTTTCCAATTTCTAAAAATTTTGCCCTTCTAGAGCAGCCCCTCAAAAAGCTGCTCTGGGGTTTTTTTGTTGTTTGTGCGTACTGGCTGTAGGAAGAGGCTCTTACAGCTTCCTCCCCACGTGGGTGAACTCAAGGTCTTGGTGCTGCTGCTACCAAGAATTTGAGGGCAGAAATGATGGCTGAAGCCTTGCCCATCACACCCCTGGCAAATTGCCATTGTTCTCCATCCCGCCTCTGCAAGCCTCTCAGCTCCAGCACAGGAATCGCACTGGAGTGATCCCAGATAAATGCTATTTTTGCTGTCTGAAATGATTATATCCTCAGGATCTAAGAAAGCAAAATAACCCTAATATTCTCAACTGTGTGTTACCTACCTGTATTATAGCTGTTGGAGTGAAAGAACAGATAGAATATGAGGAAAAAATTGTTTTAAAATCACTTATTTGTGATGTTTGAGGTGTACCAGGAGATTGACATTAACCAGATCCTCCATGATGTAAGCCTCCTCGGTCTTTCTCAGCCCAGTCCTTTGTGACCAGCCCCTGAAGGCTGGCTCCTCAAAAGTCATAGGGCAGCCATATGGAAAGTGCATATTTTTAATCTTCTGTTTATATGATAGAACATTACAGAATGCTCTTTCTCTAACTGATGAGCTGTATTTTTAGATACAACATGAAACATACGTTCCTCTAAAACTGAGGCTTTTTTTTTCGTTTAATAAAATACATTGGTAGTGGAACTTTATGTGTTAACATTAGTACAAGATTTGTGAAGAAGGACTGAGAGATTGGCAGAAGGCAGGAGTTTCCTGAGTGGCCTCTCTGCATCATCTCTTCAGGTACTTGGGTTCCAAGAATTGAAATTTGAAGCTCAGTTCTGCTTGTGAATAAGGAACAACAGATACCTTCTGATCTTAAAATTAGCAAATGTGTAACTTTGTATCTAGGATTAATGAGGAAATCTTTCTGAATGCACCCACAGTGGCTTTCCTCCTTGTGGCCAGCATGTTGTAGCCTACAAATGAGTTGGCTTTTGGAGTTCAACATAATTGAAGGAAAAAATTAGTAAGTGTAGGCCAAAACTGCAAATACTGTTGGAAACAGCAAACAAAACAAGAGTACTTTTAAAAGCGGTAAAGTCAACTGCACAGGAAAGATGTAACACAGGTATGTCTAAATGTCTAAACATGAAACAGTAACAGAAAGTCTGGCAGTCTGCTCTGGTTGACCATGGGTTTTCTGAGGATAGGATACCAGCTAGCTTTTAACATTTGCTTGTCACTCTCCTTGATGTCACACGCTTTCCTTCAAAGTGGCAAGTAAAGCTATATGACTTCAATGATGACGGAAATAAGAAGACTTGATAACACTCTCTGTGCAAAAAATGGCTTGTTTCTCTTCATTGCCTTCATTTGTGCAGCAAGTAAAGCTATATGACTTCAATGATGATGGAAATAAGAAGACTTGGTAACACTCTCTGTGCAAAAAATTGCTTGTTTCTCTTCATCGCCTTCATTTGTGCGTATCAAAGGCAACTTTCAAGTCACAGAAGTAGAAACTTGTTTGCAAAAGCAGAAGAATTAAGACAACAGATGTGGCTAGGAACCCTTGCCTTTTGTAGGATATGGTTCAGAAAGTTATTTTGGGGATGGGCTTAAAAGGAAACCTTTCTACCTGTTAAATATTGAAATGGGGGGGGGGGGGGAATCACTTTAGTTCTATTTCTCCCCCTTTTTTTCCCTCCCTTCTTCTTTTCCAGGAGCTGGGAACAAATACAGTCCCAGAACTGCCTGTGGAGCAAATGGTGGAATTCAGTGTCACCCTCACTGATCAGGAGTACACACCTGAGCTTAGTGATCCCAACTCCCCACAGTACCGACAGCTAGCTGCCAAATTTCAGCTACAGGTAAGGAGGCTGAGTGAATGCTGAAATGTTGGCTTTGTACCTTGGCTGAGGTTCATACTATGAAACTACCTTCACCATGAAACAGAATTACTGGCAGGATTACTATTGCCCTCACTTGAAATAGATAATTCTTGTTGTCTCAAGAGTTTTAGTTCTCCTTTATGTATAGTCAGCTTTTCCCCTCCTTTAGGCCATCTGTTCAGCCACCAAGCTAACAAACCAGCGTCTTTGTCAGCAGTAGAGTCTCAGATAACTGATGAACAGAGTAACTTTAGGAATATAATTTGGGCTTAATCAGGAATTCATGGACAGTACTTTGTCATAATTTAATTTCTACAATAAACCTGATGAGAAGTGCAATATAAATGGTAAAAGTAATTAGCTACTGTTGTCTGAACTTCAAAGGACTTCAAGTCATTTTGTTGTGCATTACCATAGTTTCTGTAAGAACTGGAACATCTGTGGTGTTTTCATATAATTAATAATATTAACTGAATGTTCAGCTATCAATTTAATAGATAGCAGTTAATGACTTGAGGTTCCCAAAAGGTTTTCTTAGTAAAATTCACTAAAATCAACTAAAGCTTCTCATTTCATGAGCATTCCTTAGTGCAAGCTGTTTCACTATCCTGGTTCAGTTTCAGATATGCATAGAAAAATGGTGAAGGATGTGTTTACAGAGCTGATAAAAAGTGGTTTCTTTGGAGATTTCCAGTATTATCCTCAAACAGAACTGCCTGCAGACTTTGTTTACTACACATATAATGTTGTAATTTGACAATCTGACTTTTAAGTTATTTCATCAATTGGAAGGGGAGAAATGCAAAGTTTCTTGATTGTTAAATTGTTTTGCATCATCATCAAATTTTACCTGACACTTTAAAGAGTCTAAAGCTGTTCTTGACCTGCAATGTTGACTAGAAAATTATTCACAGTCCAGTACCAAGAAATACACCTGACGTGCATTTATCCAAAGATAGGTCATGGAGGAGGCAGAGGGCAGTGTTGATACAAGAGAGTTTTACAAGTGCACTCAAAGGGTGAGAGTGAGGAGGTTAGATTCAGAATTAAAACCTCGTCCAGCTACATGAGCTCTTGTACAAATTCCAGAGAAGTCTTTGCGAAGCTGAGGCTGTGAAGTTCCAGACTCAGTTTCTAATTCCTTCCAGGACACGGCAAGAGGGAAGAGTTACAGCAGACATTACAGTGCAAATGTTCAGAAATACATCTGTGTACCACAACATACATTTAAACTCACGTGAGAAATGGAATGCAAATTCAGATGCTTACGCTACTCAGTAAATCAAGATTCATTTGGCAGAAGTAGGAAATAGGAGGCTACATATGTGCATACAGTTAAAAGAAAGCATCAACTTCATTATGATATAAAGACAACCAAGAAGAGTCTGAACAGAGCCCATGCCAACAGTCAGCTGGCAGAACATGGCTAAAAGGGGATTCAGTTACCTGAACATGGATATCTAGTGCCATTTTAGGTGCCCCAGGTTATCCAATACATCTGCAAGGGCCTCTCATATTTGAGAGATCTGCACTCTTTTGAACCAGCAACTGAGCTGAAAATGACCTCTAAAATGATAGTGTTTGCCTAAATTCAGGAAAATTAGTTGCATCCTAGTGATTTAGACCCTTAATCTCTGTTGCTTTCAATGAGCATTAGTCACATGAATAACATCTTCCCACAGTCTAGTTGCTACTTCTGCACCGCTTTTACCAAGTCAGACCAAGCCCAAAATGAAGTGCTAACCTCAGTTTCTTTCCTGCTGTCCTCCTGCGAAAGGTGGGCAAGGGGACTGTAGGTGGCATTTTCTTTGCTAGACATTATCTTCTCTTCTGCTTGCTGTGACGAAAAAGACACCTAGGCTTATACAGTGTGGCTGATACCTGGTGGTGTGATATCATACTGTTCTTCTGCTACTTCTTCACTTTTAACTTATATTAGAGATGCAGAGAAAGCTGTCAGTCTGAGCACGCATTTTCTACCTGTTCTGACAAACTCTTATGCATGAATACGTTTTAAACGTATGCTGGGTTTGTACAGAATCACTTAGCTAAGGAAGAGGAAGGATTGCCACATTAGTTCATATCCTTTTTAAATGATATGTTGAGTTAAAAGGACCCAATTCCTCAAAAGGCTTTTTCACTTCTTTTCAAGTGCTGAATTCCCTCAACTCCGCAGGCTTTGCTTGCAGATGAAAGGCTTAGGTGATGTGTTGCCTGGTACTTAACAGGACCAGGAAGTGACTCAGAAAGGAGCTGTGGAACGGTGTGTTTAAAAAAAAAAATCCCTTTGCTCTGACACAGTAGATGTCCATAAAATATTTCATTTGACTTAGCTGTATAAATGTTGCTACAATTGGAGAAGACCAAGAGATCAATCAGCTGGATCTCAAAACATTGTTAATTCTTGAGGTACTGATAAAAACACTTATTATCCTAAAGTCTGAAAGATGTACACAGAATTCACTTTTTCTGCTCATTGTTTATTCTTATTACTGTCTCTTCTATTCAAAACCATGTAATTGTACAAATGTTTACATTCGAATTAAGAATATATGAAGTTACTCTATTTGTACAAGACAGTTAAAACTGTTTAACTTATAAATGATTTGTCAAATAATCTAAATCCATCTGCATTTGGTTAATATTTCTAAATAATTAAAAATTTACAGTTGAGGTGACTTGAATCACAAAATTATTTATGAACCAAAACTGCTGAAATTGAGAAAACCATTTGATTCATGTTGTTTGATTTGCTTTATTATGAACTAGATTATCACTGATTTACATAATTACATTACTAAAAAAGCTGTATTTTGTACTTCATTTTTGCCTATTAACAGGTAATACAGGCAGCATATACAAACCAAATAATGTGTTTAAGTTGAGCAATGATGATACCGCAAAGAGGGCTGTTGAGACTGTTTCCTAAAGCTTTTCCTGAAACATGAAAGCTATTGTCTAGGTAGTCAACCTGTGCTTGCTTTTCAGTGGTGTAGAACTTATGCTGAATTAATTATTTTATGGTTTTCTATAGATGCAAAAAATATTTGAGAAACTTCCAGGATTCAAAGAAATTCACGTATTAGGATTTAAGTAAGTAAGAAAATGGGACTCATTTTTCTATTGGCTACTAGGATTCTCCTTTTCCTTCTTTCCCTCCAACATGGAGAGACCGATATAATAGCGGCGTGTGTATTGCTATAAACGGAAAAAAGTTTTGTGGGAACAACATAGAGACAATATGGAGAGACGTGCAAACACATCCCAAGTGAGACTATGGGGTTTTGAATTACTAAGTAGAAGTAGCCTTTGATTCCCTCACGGGCGAAGTAATCAATAAATCCTTTTAAATTGCTTGCTAGCAACATTTCTTACATGAGGAGGTTAATTTTTTGTGTGTGGATCCTGTGCTCTTCAAAGATCACAGTGAAGGTGCCTTGGCAAGAGAAGGTTGCAGGAGGATACATGTTCATACATATAAAATTTTCCCAGTAGGTGTTTCTCAGGTGTTTCAAATAATTTAAAATGTTTCATTTTTTAAATAAATTTGTGTTCTCTCTTGCCATTTCTTTTAGTTCTAGCTTCCTTGTATGTTTACTGTGTGTTTTTTCAATAGAAAATCTACAGGGGGCGGGGAGGGAGGCAAAAACTGAGTATTTGATATGGTTATGCTTCTATAGATAAGAGTACATTACATAAAGAATCAAGGGAAAAACAAATTATGAATAGTAAGAAATAACATAAAATTGAAAGGGAATAAAGAGGAGGAAAAAAGACATAAATTCATGTGGGCTTATGGCACAGCGTCAGGAACAGTCAGTTCATTTAATGCATGTTGAGGAACATTCATATTGCAGTGCAATTTTGGGCAAGAGTATACTTTTTCCTAGCTTTTGTCTCTGCAAAATTGCTGGGGAAAAGGAAAGAGAAGAGCAAAACAGAGGGAAAATTGGTTGCTTACATTTTGATAATGAAAGTAAGAAAACAAAAAGCTGGCTACTGCAAAACAAGCAGAGAAAATCTGTAGTAGCATGTCATAATTGCAACAACTAACCTCTTTCAGGAGATCTGAGATCCGTTTCTGTTTAGTGTCTTGGTCTTAGGAGCTGATATGAAAGTACATTCACCAATGTGGAAGACCAAGATTGCTTGCCATCATCTAGTAATTTAGTTAGCTCCTGGGAGTTACAGATCAGCAGAGACAGGTGTTGCTGTCCATTCTCCCTTAGCCATATTGCTACATCTATTAGCAGCATTTCCCACAAGGCCATATGGAAGGACAACATTAGAGATATGCTAGAGAATTCATCAGGGAAAATAACTGGGCATTATATTACAGAAGGTCAAACAGACATGTCTTCCAGAGGTAATTAATAGGTCAAGTTACCCCTGTGACTAGGATCTGAGTAGGCACCATGTGTCGTAAGAGTAATAGTTGCTACTGCTGTCACAGGTGTTCGTTGCCACCGTGAAGATATAGATGAGCAATGGCAGTGCTCAAATTGCACCATTTGTAGTGGGAAATAGGAAAGCAGATATTTCAGACTATCAAGGTAAAGTAAAATCCCTGTTTCCCCACTCAAAATATGGAGCTTCCCATTGTTGGAAAGGGAAAAAGTGAAATGATGGAGAGTAGGCGGTCATTTTCACACAGATAAAAGTTATAGATGACACAGAGAAGATAAGATAAATTGTCAAAAGATGTTTTTGATGTATGACTGATTGATTTACTGGTATACATGAATCTCTGTTTTTCTTTCTTTTGCAATCCTTTATCACACCCTTTCTTCTGTGATGAAATGAAGACAGAAGAAGGAGAAAGATGGGTAATTTGTCTGTAATTCATAATTAAGATTAATCATTTTATAGACTATTAGATGTACATAGATACATCAATAAATGTTCTTTATCTTGATGTGACAAAGTGAATTGATTTGTGTTCTGCTTAAGTGCAAAATCTGTGATATGAAACAGCAGGGACAGCTTTTACCTTAATCTAAAAGGTTCAAGTAATAAAATTTTGTCAGGATCTCTCTGAAGGAAAGAAAATTGTTTGACCTAAGGAAATTCACATTCAGATGACTAAAGATCTCTATCAGTCCTAAACTGAAAGTGGGGGGGAAAAAAAAAGGGAAACTTCATATTTAAATTTTCATTTTTGGTCTGCTGTATTCCCATATATGCATTATCTTCAATAAGTATGTAGAATTTGATTTGTTATCTCCATTACCAGACCAGATAGAATGGCAAAGAAACCAGTTACTAGCTTGATAAAATGCAGGGAGCTTCTGACTGGTAACACAAACAGCTACAGCATCTGTCGTTGTTGCTTAAAAGTGCTGCTGGGGAGTAATTTGTCTAGCGGTTCCCAGATTTCTCTTTTACTCATAGTTTAAAAGGAATAATTGTCTAATGCTCTTCCTGAATTCTTGCAGTGTCATATAAATGTAAATACATAGCACATACTAGATAAAATGAAATTCCTCTCCGGTTATTTGATATTATAAAAAGCAACATAGTGGAGTACAAATATTTTACAATGTACTCATTATTTTTTGTTTTAATTGGGTGAATTTAGCATTTATGAAATTAATAATGGTGAAAATTTGAGACTTCTGTTAAACAAGTGCATCTAGGGAGAAGCTATACACATTCATTTGGACTTGGAATGTGACTCCCATTGTGAAAAGTGATTTGCCTGCCACATTAGCTAACTTTCTTGCTATTCTTCAAAAAAGAATAAAAAATTGCTCCAGATGTGATAGGATTTTTGCTTATCTGTAGTTTTATAAACTGTCTAATCCATTTTCATAGGTTCCTGCATAATTAATAGGTGATTATGGCTTCTAATGACCCCAGCATGCACTTATGACTGTTTGAAGCAATAATCAATGACTTCAAACTGTATTACCAGTTCTAGAGGTCTCTGAGTAGTCAGATTAAACTGAATTATGAACAATTTTAGAATTTTCTTCAGTATTGGAATTTTTATTAAAAACTATGCATAGAAGAAAAAAAATTCAGATGTAGCAAAAGTAATTTGAAGATGACAGTCTCATTAGAAGGAAGTATATCTGCATTATTTTTACAGGAGATAATATTTTATAGTTGCATATATTTTTGTTTACTTGTTTGTTTGTAAGATCAGTCCTCATCCAGTAGCTGCTTTTGTTGCACTGGGCATTTTTGCATCTTTCCCTTGCAGATCAAGCAGCACTGTAGCACGATACATGGTAAACTTTGAGAGGGATGGCTCAGAAATCAAAAGCACAGCAGATGACATCTCAACTATTGGATCAAATAAGGTTGAAAATGAAAAAATTCCACTTTCTCCAAAGGAAGAGAGGGAGATATCAGCATCTAAACTCACAGTAACAGACCTTCAGCAACTGGTTGCCATAGCACTCCACGAAGACCAGTCCCTGCCGATGGACCTTGGAACCCTTCAGTTTACTGACGGTCAGTAGGCAGGCCGGTGCTGGGCACAAGGCTGAACCTTGCCCTTTCAAACTGATGCAATTTCACTAAGGTCTCCTTTGCTGCTCTAACAGATTGTTAGGTGAATCTGGTTTGATGTATCCTATTCTCCTAAGTGTTGCATAGCATCCAAAGGATGCACAGATCTAAGTTAAATCTTACAGCAAAATGTGCCTTTATAAGTATAAAGACTAACTTCCAGTCATATTGGAGGATCTATTTATCTTGGGTGGTTGTTTAGAAAAGCTGGAGGTTTTGCACACTGAAACAAATAAGAGGAGGAAAAAAAAAATACTATGAGTATTTGCTATATCATTTTAATTTCCCAGTATGGACAATCTCCTTTCTTTAATAAGACAAAAAGCAGGGGCTTCCTCTAACATGAATTTAGCTTTCTGAAAGCTGTCTGAATTGTAAGCAAGCCATCTAACCTCCCAGTGAAGTCAGAAAGACAGACACCTTAAAGAGCATTTGATCCCAAGTTAAAATCAGTATTGTGAAATGCACTGTAACGGTGCGCTTTGCTCTCTGAAACACAGCGGGAGTGTGGATGACAAGCTGAGTGTGAAGACCTCTGGCAGAAGGTTGAAAGACTTCATCCTGTCCCATAATCCAGCTAATAAATATCCCTTTCCAGTCCATCAATGATTTTTTCAAAGCTAGCATAGCCCTAGTTTTGGGGAGGTGGGCTAAAAATGGGGAAAATAATTTAAAATATTTTTTCGTATGTATATTTACCAAAGCAATCTTAAAACACACACCAAATTTTAGCTGTAGTGTTTCATTTACAAACAGGAGCATTTTCTTGCCAAAAAAATACTTAGATGAACTAATACTTTCTGTAAGAATAAAATGTCATATTTTAATGTAGATTAAAAGTCCCAAGAAAAAAATTCATGGATATAGAACACTTGCATAATAACTATTTTAATCAACTTTTTTCCACTATTTATTTTTAATAACCAGTTTTAGAAAAACAATTTGCATGCGAGTATGTTTAAAGAGCTCCTCTGAGGTGGTGAGGGGAGCAACTGGGCAGTAAAGCCAAAACGCTGAGAGTAACGATGGCGTGGACTCTGGGTAAAACTGAAAAGAATTTAAGCTTAATGAACCACGCAATATAATGAGTCATCATAGCCCATACAGATTTAACTGAGTGGTTCCTACTTCAGCTGATTTTAGGCATTCATCTATGGTTCAGGTCTCTGCAGACCTATCCCATTTATACTAAATGAAGAGTACAAAGAATACTGCCTATAAAATTCCTGGTTTTCTCATAATTGCCAGTTTAAATGGAAAATTTTGCCTCTTTCTTCTTAATATGGATTTTTAAAAGTAATTTTTTGATGGAGAACAGTTCTAATACAGTTTTTTACTGAGTTTATGTGTTTTGAACAGTTTTCAGTGTGCCACTGCTGAAATATTGTGCTCTCCCTCTCTAAAATATTTTTTTTTCCAGAATCTTTTATATCACCTCGTGATTTTGATAATGATATCCAGCCCATGGTCACTATTCCTCTGACGGGTCCTGATTTGGTAAGCTAATACTGGTTGTTATATTTATTTATCACTCCATGAGAAATGAAATCAAACAGTGTTAAGATGTACATAAATATACAGGAAAAGGCTCTTATGCTAAAATACATATCTGCCTTTTATAAATGCTGTAATCATGAATGTTGTAGTCTTACACTGTAACAGAGAGAGTGTTCAGAGCATTTACAGGTGAATACTACTGCTTGATTAACTTTTCCAGTTCTAATTACAAAGTAAGCAATGTCTCACCAGTTCAGTAGTACATCTCAATGACAGAAGGAGAGCAATCGACAGGGACAGTGAAAGTCATCTTTCTTTGACCATTTTTAAAATTACAGGCAAATGTGATTAGGGTCATATGCACATACCAAACATTTTATACATCCCATGACTTTATGCTGAGTTAGCTGTTTGCAAACTCCTGTGGCTAACAATTATTGGCCTTTTTAACAATGAAATTTAAACATTATAATGAAAGCTGCTTCTTAAAAACTTTTTCAGGAGGACTCCATGAGCGTGGAACTCCCACTCGGTTACCCCAGCCCAGCAACAGCGGACCAAACAGGAGACGTCTTGGTCAGTGAATTTACAACTGGAATCCCTGTGCTAAGTGGAAAGATCAGTGCTCCAGAAGACTTTAATAATTTTGTTTCATCTGAACCTGTGTTCCCTACCAAACCTTCCAGAGAACCATTTCAGGACAGATCTCCTCCAGACACAGAAGGTATCGCTACTGACCACCAAAGTTTCACAGTGCCTTTCAGTGCTCTGGGTAGCACTAGCAGTCCTCCAAAACCAGAGGATTCCTATTTGCCTCCTCCAGCAGATGATTCTGCTAGCAATGACTTGATCACCGATGGCTATGAGTCTCCAGTGGAGCAGGCTACTACAGTGGTGGTTTATACCACAGGCAGCTTTACCCCAACAGATCTCCTGCAAGCCAGAGATGAGAGTAGTGAAGCTGAGGAGAAGAAAGAACTGACTGATATAACAGAACCACCTTTCAAGGAAGCTGACCAAGATAGTTTGTCTGGTCAAGGTAAGACACAAAAGATTTTCCATAAGAGACAGTAGGAGAGATCCAGTTCTTATTAAACATACAGTCACATATAAGTACAGTAAGAATTCCTTTCAGTTGTGACAGAAATTTTTCTGGATCATCAAAGGTGAAAAATTTACATTTCTGATGCCCACTTCAGGAAACAGTGCCACACAGCAGAACTGTGAGAGTGGGGAATGCCTGTGTAGGGTACTGTCTATGGTATTGTTCTTTCTGGATCCAGTAAATAACAAGATCAGCAGTTTAAAGAATATAGAATGTAAAAGCTGGGATGATACACTAATTGGGTCCGGACAGGGAATAGCATAGCGTATTCCACGGTGATGTTGTTGTACTTGGTATTTTATGTACTGAATAAGAACTTCCCGTTCTATAGTCTTGTCTTTAGATACAGAGTTCTGAAGTGAGAGAAAGGCAAATACTTTATGATTAGCAGAGTGATTTAAAGGTTAGAAAATCACTTCTTATAAGAATCAGTTGTGAAACATTCCTGAAAATAAAGCTTATGATGAAAAGCGTTAAACACAACTATTTTCAGATGCATGCTGAGAAGTCTTGTAGTGCTACTGATAAAAGCACAGCATACCTTCAAATAACGGTACAGCATATCTTTAAATAACATTCATTATAACTGTGGAAAAGTGTTACATTTGCAGGGGAAAAAATGTCACATACATTTTTCATTCTATTCGCTCATTGGATTAGGGATTTGATATCATAAAAACCCACATAAAGCCACATATCTATTTCACAATTTGCTAAATAGCTGAAAAACCTTGTAGCCTAACAGCTCCAAATAAGCGAAGAGAAGCAGCGAAGGGTATTTGACTCACCAAAAATGCAGAGCAACTTACGCTGAAGATACTAGTTCCATTTTTTTTCTTCACATCAAAAATTGTAAAGACTTTGTTTTTTGCATTTTATTACACAGTTACTGCCTGACTGTTTTTCACTGGATGGGAGGAGGGATACAATAGATAGAGTGCTCTCTGGCCCCAAGGTTCAAGCTTGCTTGACTGTCCCCAGCGACAGTGTTAGGACTACAGCTCGTTTGACTCGCACAGGCTCTGATACCTTAGTTCAAAATGGGGATTAGAGTCTGTGTTTCTAAATGATCCTTAGAGACAATACATTGCATAGTTTAATGAGTTTCAATGTCATCAGGCAAATATCAGGACTAAGGGAAATTTTAGGAAGGATAATGCAAATGGAAAATTCACCACTTACAAACACAGACTTCTTCAACAAATTTTTCTCATATAATTTGAAATTCAGTAAAAAAAATAATACATAAAGCTTTTTCTTCTTCCTAAAGCTGTTATTGCCTGTGCCCACAGAGCATGGAATTGTTCGCTTAAAGAGATATGGATGTTCTGTAAGCAGAGGTTTGATCCTGTAAGCACCTGGTACTGACACTACTTTAAGAAATTATTTGTTGCACTTTGGGTTGGAACCTGTCAATCTGCAAAACAGGATGAACTGTCTAGAGCTGTTAAAAAAAGCTTCACCAAAATAAGGCCCACTATCTTATTCCTCCTTGTTGAACACAAGTTATGTCTAAAACAAGCACTAGAATATAAGAATTCCATCATTATCTCTGCAACTGAGTAGCAGAAAAATAATTGTTCCCCGTCTAAAAAGAAGGAATACCATGTTAGCAAGGACACAAAGCTGTAGTTGTTATATTTGCTTAAAATCTTACAGTACGGCATGCTTAACAGAAGAGAGATGTTGAAAATCTATTTACTGAGCTCTTAAAAGAGCAAATAGTGTATACTCTTTAAAACTTTTTCTCTTTTTATAGCTTTTTCTCAATTCTGGCAGTCCTGTGTACAGCATTCCCTACATTCTTTCATTTCCCTAGATGTTGCATATTTCATAGTACCCGATAGAATTTGATCTGGACATTCAGAACTTACTTAACATTTACGACAGAGGTTTTATTAAAGGCAACAGTGTTGCTAACATTAATTTTAATATGGCAAGCAGAATTCCTCACTAGCAGGTACAGAATTTTTCACACTTCTTGCCTGGCTACTTTTCATAGTTGCATTTCTTAGTAATATTTAAAAAAAAAAAAAAAAAAGGCAAAAACAAACAAACAAAAATTGTTGCTGGTGTGAAATGGCAGGAACTACTTAGATGGTGCTGTATGAAGTTGGGCAGAGAGTTAGGGTCTAAACAGTTGCCTGCAATTCTACTACATTAATTTCCAGCCATTTGCCTACCCTACCATCCAGAAAATGGAGCAAATTTTCTTCATCACATGTTTGGAACTTTTAAATTCACTGTTCTTTACCATGAAAGGAAGAGCTGGCTACCAGAAATCAGAGAATCATAGAATCGTTATGGTTGGAAGAGACCTCAAAGATCATCAAGTCCAACCTTCTTGGTTAAATAACATAGTCTGAGATTCTTTTAGGTGTCCCCATCAGCTATATGTTTCACAGATGGACTTTATTGCATTGGTTATCGCATGTATGCAACTACAGGCTGAACATTACTACAGGCTCCTGAACATTGAATGTCTACAGCCTATGCCAACTGCTTTAATTGTGCCTACCTGAAGTCACTGAGCAAAGCAATAAAAGAAGTTATTTCACAGCTCCCAAAAGATAATTGTACTCAGCCTCACGCACACAAAGTTCTGTATGCAACATCTAGGGAAAGGAGAGTAAAAAACAGGCGAGGGACAAGGAGCCAAACTAATGAGAGGTGTCCTTTTAAGCCATGCAGGATGGGATTTGTCAGGCTTGGGCAGCCAGCGGGAGGAAGGAGCCAGGAGCAGGTGTGAAACTGCTTTCAGAGGGTTCTGTGCTCATTCTGGGCAGTGATGCTGTCCATGGGCAGTAAAGAGCAGGCCAGTGAGGATTAGACAGCAATGCTGGCCAAATGGTGATGGCAGTTACTGCACTCCTTGAAGTAGCTCAGAACTACTAGGAAGATGCCAAGCTGTCTTTAAGGTAAGCCTAACCTTTGAATTTCAAATTCTGTTTTGAGATTTCACAATAGAATTAAGATGCAAAACCCTGGTACAATTTTCCAGACCTCTTACTGAAAAGCTCTGAAATTCCTGGATCAGATTTCGTGATTTAAACATTTGACTACTCAAAAAGGTTTTTCTTTGCTGTAGCACCTTCAAAATCTAGGCTATTTCCATTTTCCATTTACAACCAGTGCAAAATCTCTGGGTTTTTTCTACTGTCTGAGACAATACCTGCTCACTGTTCTCTAGCATTCCTCTTTCTTCATATTTTTGCCCTGTCTGGACTGAACGCATCAACATCTCTTCTGTATGGTTAAATTTCTTCCTCTTGTTGCAGTCTTCCTGTGACTCTACCTAGCAGAGTCTGACCATTCAGAAAGGAAGCCACTTGTGTAATATATTAGACAGGTTGTTATTTCAAAAACGAAGAAAATTTCAGCAGTAAAACAAATGCAAATAAATGTATAAACAGATAAAAGAGTTCATGAAGTCTGAAACAACAAAGATTATATACTTGTACTTGCTAAACTGTAAGAAGAATTTTAGTTTGTATTTGTCTTAATTGTAGCTACTAACAAATTATTCCATCCAGGTAAATGGTTATCCCATTATTTCTGGAGAAGTTATTCCAGAAGCATAGGACAAAATAAAGCTAGTGGTAAAATACTTCACCTATTTTGTTGTACTATGTCTCAGTCTCACCAGCCTGCATCATCCTCAAGCTCTCAAGAAAGACTGTGAGAGAAGACGGCTCTGCAGGCTGTATCACAGAGTTTTTTCTGTGAGAAAAAAAAAAACCACTGATGAGGAATAGATGGTGGTCACAACTCTCTATGTGTAACTGATAAAACCCTCATTAATTTCCATAATTGCTGTCATGTTCACACAGCCTTGCTGTGAGTCGTCCCCTTTAATATCTTCCTCCTGCCCCACAGTTAACTTGGTTGTGCACTCCTCGCTCACTACTATTCCTAAGCAGTCTCTAGAAAAACTCAGGTTTCTGGATGTTTGGGAATTCTCTCTGCCTCTGGTTCATCTCCAGCTGCTTAAGCACCATCTATGCTTAGCGTAGCTTTCTATTTGGCATACCCAGCATTGTCATGGAAAAGAAAAGCCCATTACTTCTTGCAAGAACCATGCCGGATGGTCCGAGGATTGGAATTCACCTTTTCTTTGTGCCAGGAAGGCACAAATACGCAATACATTTTGTCCCCAAATATGCAATATAAATGCACGTTAACCAAAACAAGTGAAACTTTACTTTATATGCAATTGGTAATTGGTATGAAGTACAGAAAACAATTTCTGCTAAGAAAATTTGCTTATCCAGAGCCGCTTGTATAATGAAAAAATGTAACACCTCATTCTCCACCTATAGAGAAGGTGAAGAATCTGCAGCCCAGAAAGCCAACCGTACCTTGGGCTGCATCCCAAGCAGCGTGACCAGCAGGTCGAGGGAGGGGATTCTGCCCCTCTGCTCCGCTCTGGTGAGACCCCCCTGCAGTACTGCCTTCAGCTCTGGGGTCCTCAGCACAGGAAGGACACGGGCCTGTTGGAGCGAGTCCAGGTGTTTGTAAAGCCTTAGGTTATTTTCACACAGATTTCATTATTTTAAACTCATGAAATAAATTTTTCAAGTTTAATTGTAGAACAGTCAACAATGGGAATAAGAACTGTTAATCCTCCTGAAGCTATGGTTTTAAGTGAGATGTTTCATTTGCAGCTTTGATCCCATTCCTTTGTAAAAGCGTATTCATATTTGCAAATTCACTGCTGCTCAGTTTTGCTTTCTCTGTTTAACTCATTGATGTGAATACCAGTCAAGTTCAGACTTCTTAGTTTAGCATGGTGTCTTACCTGTTTAAGATATATTTTAATATGATTTTACTGTGGTAGCAAATAATGCAAAACTTCAATACAAAATAGCTTACAATAAATGCCACAGCAGCCCCTGGCATTTTTAACATGTTTCCATTGTAAATGTACTTATTAA